CCTCCAACTGATTTTCTGATTTTTTTTTAAATTTGCTATTGCCCTATACTACATTGGAGGGTGGTTGTATATTTTCTTGATCTCATATATCAAAGAAAATTTTGTAATTGCTGATTTTGGCATTGGCAAGGGTAAATTCTGACTTTATCTCGTGTGGTAACACGTCTGTCATCACACAGATGTGCGATAAAAAAATTGTAGGATATTTAACAAGTGATTTTAATAGAATTTTGTGTGCAGATCACCTAAAAAAATAGTAAAGAAATTCTGTCACCTATAGATAAGTTACAAATTTCACCTGAAATTTTCTTAAAATGGGTTTTTAGGTTCGGTATAGGTTCGATGTTTCTGTATTATATAAGCGGTAAATTGAGTCTGAATTATGGAGCTTTTATGATGAACAAGTTACTACACAATGTGAGTGTATATCTAAGATGAAATACGATTTTAATCTATTCATTTCAATAACAAAACGAATCTAAACTGGAAAAATCCAGTTCCTACTGGAACAAGGTATGTATGTGTCAGTCTGTCTGCCCCCTCCCTAAACCTACTGACTCGATCAGTGTGGAGCCAGCCACTGTGGTGTACACATCAAACAGTTTTGTGCTATCCTTTTGAGAAGAAATGGTTACTAAAGGATGTGTTTGTGAGTCTCATACCATCAAGAAGCAACAAAGGAATATTTCTAATTTTGTTCAAAAGGTGTATTTTCCATTTTTCAAGTATCTTCCTGAAAAGAATCTGAAAGAACTGAAAGAAGGAGTATTCGTTGGGCCTGACATAAGAAAGCTTTCAAAAGATGAAAGCTTTGTCACTAAAATGGATATGAAAGAAAAAAATGCCTGGAATTCATTCAAACTTGTTATAACAGGCTTTGTTGAAAACAAAAAAGATCCAAACTATAAAACTTTGGTTCCTGAATTGATGCAGTACTACAAAATGTTGGGCTGCAACATGAGAGTCCATTCCCTTCACTCATATCTGGACTACTTTCCCGAAAAGCTAGGGGCTGTAAGTGAGAAACAAGGAGAACTGTTCCATCAAGACATAAAAGAAATGGAACGCAGATACTGAGGTCCGTGGAATGTTAACATGATGGCAGACTAGTGTTGGATGTTAAAAAGGGGAAATTCACAAGAACACAGCCAAAAAGTACCAGAAGAAGCTTTGACGAAAAAAGAAAACGTTTTTACAAAGACTTATAATCACTTTGCAAACACCTGTGTCTCACTATCATGCTTAGTTCAGCTATGTAGCATTGTTTCTTTTTGCTTTTACTTCATGTTAAAATAATAAAAATTAATCCACAATTCCTCGTTTTTTTCTACTTTTTTAATCATTTCATCCTTATTTTGTGGGCAAACACGTGATAGACTCAATTCAATTCAATTCAATTTTATTTGGAATATGTTATTATTATGGTTAGGACCACTAGGAATTTGAGGAAAGCAGCCTAAGCGCAGGTGGCTTGTAATGTGCTTCCGTCTGTCTCCCCGTGGAAGTACTTTAACCCTTTGTGGCTCAGTGGTTCCACTTTGGGACCACCATTTTATAAATGTATCCCTACCGGCGGAGTGATCGAGCGCTGGAACCACCTGGTTCAAAGCGATGCTTACATTGTATATTTCATCGGCTGAACATTTTGCGGAATTGAAGTGGGGATTCAGAATTAGTAAACAACAGATATTTGGCGCGTTTGCTGATGTGCAAATGTAACGTTTTTCAATGCGAATTATGCAAACTGTCTGAGGTTATTATAAGGTATGTAAAATTTTGATTTGTTCATAAATAAGTACTTCTTTGTGTTGCCTAATGCATTGTTGTGAAATATGTGAATAACTGAGTTATATTTGGTATTTTGATTGGTGGTTCCGTTTGGTGCCACTACGCCGATAGATGGGTAATGATGATTATTTTTTGCAGGTTTTCAAGATGAATAGAAATTTCGATTTGAGTGGAATAACTAGTGATGATGCTTACAATTTGCTGGAGGATATTCCATCGGAGGGATCTGATGTTTCAGAGTATGGGGATTTAGATATTGAGATGGACATGGTACTCGATTCAGATGAAGTAGATCATATTTTAGAAGATCAGGACGATATTTTTGATGGCCAAGAAGATATTCGTGATGAAAATGATGATTTTGACAGTGAAGATGATTTACCCCTCATATATGCCCATGAAACCCATAAAGAGGGGGTACAAAGTATGGGTACGTGCTGAACAGTCAGGCTACGTCTGCCAATTTCAAATCTATACTGGGAAAGTCAATGATTTGAGGGAGCAGAATCTTGGAACGAGAGTTATAAATGACCTCACGAGAGATTTGGTCGGAAAAAATTATTAAGTTTATTTTGATAATTAATTTAATTCTGTAGAGTTACAACGTGACTTGCTGCAAGACAATATCTACGCATGTGGAACAGCTAGAAAAGACAGAAAAGGTATTCCGGGTGATCTCAAAATGAAGAAAAAAATGAATAGAGGTGATTCAAATTGGAGAATAAGTAAAGATGGCGTGCTAGCTCTGCAATGTATGGATAAAAAGCCCATAATTTTTCTAAGTAACTTTCATAGTACTGAAGATGTAGAAACTGTAAAAAGGAAACAAAAAGATGGAACGACCACAGAAGTGAAGTGTGAAAAATTAGTGAAAGATTGGTTTAATTGGAGCTGACCCAAAAATGCCGCAATTAGGGAGAAGAAGCACGGATAAGCCAAGTACCAGCAACAAGTTCAAAGTACGAGTTCCTATAGAAATAAGAACTGATAAAGCTGCTTATATGCCTAAGCATGGAACTGAAGTACGTTGTTCACATTGCAGTACCAAAGCAGTACCTCATCGCACAAAATGGCACTGTACTGCATGTAATGTAGGTTTGTCTTTCTGAAGGGAGAAACTGTTTCATTCCATTTCATGTTATTCAACAATTTGTTTGTGGCCTAGTGGTTCCATAGGGTAACCACCTGTTTTTTCGAAAAATATTCAAAATATAACAAAAATTCATCAGTTTTCTTTTTTTTCTTGTCCCGATATACCCTTAAGATTACTCAATTTCGGAATAATTCGAAAAAAAATAATTCCGTCCACAAAGGGTTAAAAATATATCAGGCACAAAAATAATAAAAGATTAAATAACTGATGCAGTTGTATTAGTGAAAAGACAGAGGAAGCTGGTATATTTTATGAGAATAAGTACCTATAATTATCTATACATATAGGTTTACATAATATTGGAAATAGGTACAGATACACTGAAAGAAACATTGGAAGATTACGGGTATTATTCACAATTATGAATTCTTTTGTATTTTTTTATTCTTTAAAAATGTAGTATTTATCTTTATTTCAAGGGAAAGCATGTTATACAGCTTTGGAGCGAAATAGTAGACTGAACGTTGGGTATGACTTTTTTTGTAAAGGGGTATATCAATGGATAAATTATGTATATTTCTGGTGTACTTTGTATTTGCCTTAGAATAATTGATATTGTTTGAGTATATCCATATACGACACTGGTGTGCATACAAACTTCTTATGTCAAGCAGATTAGTTTCAGAATAGACTTTTTCTGTATCAAATTGTCTGTTTTTTTTCAACATTATTTTCAAAACTGTATTCTGGAGCAACTGTACAATATTTAGCACATTCTCAAACATTACACCTCACACTGTGATACAATATCGTATAACTGACTCAACAAGAGATTTGTAAACAATAATCAAGCATTTTTTTGTGAGTATATCCCTGAGTTCATACATTTTATAGCTAAGATGTCTGAGTCTTTTTACTATATATTGCAAATGTTCATCCCATCTCAGATGTTGGTCCATTACAACTCCTAAATACTTTGGTTGAGTTACTTTTTCAATATATGATCATTCACAAATGGTTTCAGAACACTTTGGCATATGTAAATAAATTTTTTGTTGGACAGGTTGGTGGTTGCTCAGAAGAGTGAAAGTAATAAATTTCGATTTTTCAACATTAAGGTTGAGAAGATTGTTACTTAACCAAATTTGTATTTTATCTAAACACTCTTCTGCTACTTTATATACCTGTTGCCATGTATTACCTGTACAGGTAATACATGGCAACGGTTATGTTCCCATTCATAACAATTTACTATCTCCGACAAGCGTATATGGATGCTGCTGAACATATATTGTGAGATGGAAATTACATATTTCATGGAAGTTTCATATTTCATGTCGTATTTCTTTGTGCGGTGCATATTTCAAAACCTTTCATTTTTAGTACGTTTCGTGAGGCCCGCTTTCTGAGCCGTTGACTACAGTTTTTGAGAGGAATATTCCGGGAAATTGGATTCGAAATATATTTTATAAGGTTGAACTCCTTATAGAAACGAAATTTGTTCGAGTTCCAGCAATGAATGAAAGCAAAAAGCATAAAAGTGAACACAGGTTACTATGCTATATTGCAATTAAAAAGTATGTTCAATACCAATCAACTCATCAATATATATTATGCTCTAATCTACTGCAACATATCCTATAACATCAACATCTGGGGATACTCCAGTAAGTCAAGCAGAATATTTGTCTCCCAAAAAAGAATTATTCGACTCATTTTCAATCTAAAACCAGATGAATCGTGTCAGCCATATTTTCAAAAATATAAAATTTTAACAGTTTTATGTATTTATGTTTTCGAGTATATAATGTTATTTATGCAACATGTTGATATGTAAGAAGCATAATCTCTGCCAATTATGATGAAAAGTGTCGACCAATATTTGTAAAACTTAAAATAATGACCCTATATTCAGTTATTGTCTATGAAAATCTGCTTCTTGTTAAAAAAAAACTTGATGAATAAAGTTGCTCACAAGGATATAGACCAACTTGATACTTAACATGTATTTATTTTGTTGTTGAGAGGTTAAGTAATAGAGGAAATTCACTACATTTTTTTCTATCTCACAAAGCAAAAACCAGTATCATTATCATTAATAACGATTTCTCACTTTCAGGCTTATCCAATTTGCGGGTCTCATTGTGCCAAAACTGGATTACCAACATTCCTAGATTCGGCGACGAGTGAATGAATAAAATGAAAACAGAAAAATGAAATGAAGTCAAGTCTAAACTATTCGAATATTCAAGGACCACACTTTTTCAATCGTTCCGATATGATACGCCAAACACTTGAGTATTGAAGTTGATTGATTTCCTGTGAGATAATTCCCACCAGAGTACAGTGCATATGGCTGGATCTGCTGAAAATTTCAGTAACGGAAGATAAACAAAAAACTTGTTTTCGAAGACTGAGTTTGTCAACTCCATATATTTCACATCCAAACTTATTGATTGGAGTGACAAATTCAACAACTAAACGTCTTTCCATGGTAGATGGAAAAAACAGAAGAAAAAAGGTCCTTTCTTGTACATAAATTGAATATTTTCTCAATTGCGATGGAACGTACACCAGCGATATTTCCGTTTTCTGATTTTTCTAACTGGGTTCATATTTAGGAATTTTTTTTTCCATCTTCCATATGAAGAGTCTGATTTTGAAAAATATTGAATTTTCCAATATTTAAAACCTATTTCCTTAAAGAAATTTCCAAAAATGTTTCTAGATATGCACTGTTCTCTAGGACCTCGATAAATTTGAATGTCATGAAATTGCAAATGTGAATTATTGTTCACTACTTGATAAATTCAGTTTCATTTAAAAATCCCTTGATGTACATAAACCAAACTCCTCCTTGATATATAGTAGACTGTATCATATATATATGGGGATGTAGATATTGAGATGGACATGGTACTCGATTCAGATGAAGTAGATCATATTTTAGAAGATCAGGACGATATTTTTGATGGCCAAGAAGAACATAAGTTTTAGAGAAATTCCTGATAAGATAGAAGCAACAGAGAGAATACCCGATAGACTGCAATAAAATTACTAATTGACAACAGATCCTTCTGTCTATGTCCCAGAATAGCTCAAGAAAACAGAATACAGGCTTTACCAAATTGTTGAAATTGATAATTTTTCTGCATTATTACTCTGCGGTTTTCAATGATGTTTTTGCATAAAGTCTGTATTTTGTCTTTCCAATCTCAACTGAAAGTGAAGATTATTAGGAGTATTTGCGAGTAAGTAAAGATGTCAAAAGGCTTATGTAACCATATTGCACAAATCAATTAAATATATCTACTTTTGTACTACCGACTATGAACCAAGCTGGCAAAATGAAGCAGGGTTTGGGTATTCTCAAGAAATTTTTCAGTATTTTGTGCCAGACCCTGTTCAATTTTAACGCTCTGTATAATCCTGTCCATGAGCATAACTGAGGAAATCAATTTGATACTACTTTTCGTCACTAATATATGAATCTTGTGAGTTTTCCATGAATCAGAAATCAACGACTAAGCCATATTTTTATAACAAAATGTTATAGTCTCATATTTTAATCGCCTCAGAAATGCCCGTGGCTGCATCTAAGTCATTATACCTATGTTTTTGTTTAAACAAATGTAAGTCAAAACTCCAACCCCGATAGATTAGTTTATTGTATATTCAGAAGTGTCGATATAAACTGAGATATAGATAGTAACTTACTCAATCACTGAGAGTTTCAGAAACATTATTTCTGAAGTCGATGTTAGGTCAACTAGTTGTGTCGGTGTGATTCAGAACTTTTCTAAATCCGCTAGAATATTTGTGTTTGAACATTTATGAAGTCACGTGTAACAAACGCTATCACTTCGTTTCCACTTCCATTGTCCATTTTCAGTGTCTACTTATCATTTCGAATACGAACTTCTTCTTTAGCTGAACTTTCATTGATATTCCTTTTAGTTTCCTCAAACTAATTTCTTCATTAACACCTCTCCTCACATATGTTTTCTAAATAACATTTCACAGGCATCATTTCACACTTTGATGAAACAGATATTTCTTCACATAATTTTCAATTCTATGGTTTTCTTAATTGCTTGGTCTTACTATATTTTGAATCGTATCCTCATCATTTCTATTTTCCTTAATTACTTTTTCTACAATCTCAGTTATTTTCCTATTCACTTGTCACTTCTTTCTAAAACCTCTGTGTTTTTATACACATCATTTTCTGAATGAATTCTCCAGTTTCGTTATCTATAGTGACTAATGGAATATCATAGATATTGTGAATTATGTTGAATTTCATCTGAAACTGTCAATTATGTTCTGGTTCATATTTATTGCACATCCTTAGTTTTCTTACCTATCCTTCATTTGATCCACCCATTCCTTATTATTTTCCATATCAATAACTGCAGTGGACTTTTCCAAATATTCTAGTTTTTGTTAAATAAAAACAGCATGTATGAAGTGATCTGTAGAAATACAATATAACGCAAAATCTACATAAATGTATGTACTGGCAACAAATATTTGTACTTTATTATAAGGAAACTTACGAAGCAACTGTTCGTTTTTGCTTTTTAAAGCATTTCGTGCAAGCAAAACAAACAACATTGGTAATAATGTTGAATGTAGCATAGAAATTGTAAACTACATACGAGTTTTTCAGATAAAACGCTTATGCAAGTTTATTGTATGGGATTTTTCCTAATAACATTTGAATGCTGGTCGTTCACGATTGGAAAAGTCTCTATTAGGTGAATTGTCTGATTTCAACATTGAAATGTCCCGTTATGGAATTGTGGCAAACAAGAATAGAATGTATGTACTCTCTCGAAGACAAGATTGGACTGGTTTCTATGACATTTCGTAACAAATACTTTCCTTCTCATACTTTTATTATTTGTTATTCATCAATTGAATATTGATCTTTTTTTTGCCTGAACATTTTTTGAATATTTAGCCAATAATTACTCTCTGAAGGTAAAGTCATATGTGTTGAGAATAATATGTGTGGTAAGTATTTTCGATGGAATAATCCCAATTCAGATTGATTTCTTTTTTGCAACTATTTTCATCCTGTTCCATCCAACGCGATGTTCTCCGTCTGTATTCTGATAATTTTGATCCTGTTAATCATTTTTCTGATGTGATCGCTATGCTCACTCTCAAGCAATTTCAATAGTCATTAAGTTTCACAATACAAGTACAGTTTTTACTTCTTCCTGTTTTTTTATTGAGTTTTGTATGTATAAATACGGATCCCAGTCAATATTTAATTTTATAAGACGTTCTAATATAACATATACAGGGTGTGTCAGATTTTTCTTATCATCTTTAGAAACATCAAAGATGTTTCTAAATTTGACATACAATTTGTTACACTCAATGACATTTGGTTTTTGTACAAGTCATTGAATTTTTGGCAAAAAATGGCTTTCACTAATGGTGAAAAAAGAGATATGATACAAATTCATTACAAATACGATAGAAACAGTGTAAGGACATCGGAGATGTATTTAAACTTGTATCCTGAAAGACGACAACCACATCGAACTATGTTCAAGTTTTTGGATCAAAATCTCACCAAGTTTGGTTCGTTTGAAAGGCCATTGAAAAAATACGAACAAATGAAAATGATAAACAAATGAAAATGATAAACTAAAATGTAAGGTTAAAAGTAAATCACAGCAAATGCTCAAAATACTGGCCTTGTTCGTGATAACACAACTGTACTTTTTTTCGAATATTTTTCACTGCACGTTAACAATGCTCTGTTGAAGGTCCCCTATATTTTAATATTCCCTCTGACCAATAACTCTATTTTTCAATGTACCCCATAAGAATGTATCCATAATACTTAAGTTTGGATACCTTGCTGGTCACCTCACCGGCCCATTATTCCCTATCCATTTATCACCAAACCTCTCAGTCAGGTAATTAGATACTCATCTGGTAGTATGCGGTGGAGCACCATCATGTTGAAACCAGACGTTGTTATAGTTATTCAAAGGTAGATAATCCAAATAGTCTTCGAAAATCGACATTGAAAACGAGTGATAGGTTTCTCCATTCAGAATTCCGTCGAATAAATGAGGACCTAAAATTCTATCCTTGTAAATTCCTTCCAGGAAAACAGGAAAATGAGGTCTTCTTATTAGCCAATTACAAAATTCTAATTCTAATTCGGGATCGCCTGGATGCAGTTTTTAAGATATGTGTATTTTGTAGCATTTTAAACCGCATTTTTGAGATGTCTCCAAGCACTTGTATGACAAATATTCATTTTGGAGGAAATTTCAAAAAAATTTCTTCAATCGTAAAAGCTATTTGCCGCCAAAAATTCAATTACTTGTACAATAACAAAATGCCATTGAGTGTAACAAATTGAAAGTCAAATTTAGAGACATCAAAGTCAAAGCCTATTATGATAAGAATCAAGTTTTTTCAATATCTCCAATTTTTCTAAAAAGAATGATAACTTATGATACATCATTGAAAAGGTAAAATCTGGTTCCAATGTAGCGTATATGAGAAAAAAAATGATGATGTTAGCAGGAGGACGAAACATCGGATATCAAATCTGAAAACACCATTATGTAGCAGGGAAAAAGTGGCAACGTAAAAGTTCAATTCATTTTCGAATCCTCCGAAAAATTAAGCCCGAAAAACATAAAAACCTTCTTTCCAGAATTTCTGTTTTTTTTTTCGGATATCTCCGGATATACTGGGAATTTCAGATCTTTCTCAACGACATATTGAGTGTCAGACAAATACCCCAGTTTAACCATCTTCGTATCTCTCATAGTTTGTGAGATCCCAATGGTGAGGATCGAATTTAAATCGCCCTGTATAGTTCTCATCTCTTCAGGTGATCCTAAAACCAACTTCACAGTGGTGGTGGTTTTGGTGGTTGTTGAATTAGTGTTGCTGTTCAAAGAGTCATTTGGTTTTACAATAACTCTTCATTTTCTATTTCATTCATTGTTGAATCTAATGACAAATCTGGATAGATTTCGTCAATTTCATCGATGGCACTTCTCAATGACATTTCTCCATTAAAATTTTCAGCTGTTCGTGCTCTTTTATGAAGACAATTTATTATACCTTTTTCAACACTCAAAAATGATTGATTTGAGGACTTTTATCAATATATCAAAGTCGATTAAAATCCCTGATGTCCTCAACACTCATTTCTCATTTGTTGAAGTATCTACAGTATAGCAATTCGAAAAAAACTGAATAGTTTTCGAAAACGATATCCTGGTTCCTTTCCTTCTGCTGTATTAAAATCCTCATTTCAGCACTCTTCCATTTATTTCAGATGTTCCTTATTCAATAAGAAACGTTAGTTGAATGACGCAAATCCATTAGAGATATGACAATCCCAACCCCCATCAAAGCGATCATGAGAAACGCTGTCGGTGTGATTTTTCAGACGAACCACCCCCTATTGTGGGATACCCTCTCGCAACACAAACGAAACTCCTTTTGAAGTCTTCGTCAGCCAAAATGATTCGTGAGCCACAACCATCGGGCCATTTTGAATAATGAGTCGGATGTTGTCAACGTTTAAAATTAAGCGATTCTCTCATTTTAGATAGTAAGCTTTGTACTGACTGTTTTGTATCAATTTATAACGGAGAAACAATTAGGGATTAATGTACATATAGCTTCAGTGAATTGATGTTCTGTGTCGATCGAAGCTGGCTTTAATCTGTCCGCAGATAATTAATTTTAGCGTATACCTAATATAATGTGTAACCTTTAGAAGAGGGTGTGATAATTATAAGAGCTAAATTCTGTTTGAATATCCTTACTTGAATAAAATGATGTAAGGAGTGAAAGTGG